TGGTGATGGTGATGGTGGTGATGATGGTGATGGTGGTGATGGTGGTGATGATGGTGGTGGTGATGGTGGTGATGGTGGTGATGGTGGTGTGACGATTCTTTTATAGGCTCCATCTATTCCAGAAACTTGATTTGATCAATGTAGCCAAGTTGGTGAGAATCAGGGAAAGTGATATTCTCAAAGAATTTCCACAAAACCGAGGTAGGAATCAGACTCGACTTGGGTAATGGATAATGCAGAGTTCTTTCTAGGCACAACCCTTAGTTCTACCATCTCAGATTTCCCAATCCTGACAAAAGGTAACCAAATGAAGCACAAGGTTGTTCAGAGAGTGTGCGAGAACAGAAAAGCGAGACTGACTCCCAAGAAACTCTGGTCCATTCTCACCCTGGAGAGAGGGGTACTTGCACCTAATCTTTCTAAACTTACAGATTTGAGGTTAGAAGAGAAATTTTAGAACCAGTGTCTTAGCTGAGCCTGTTTCTTCGTTAGCCAAATAACGGTGAGCTTTCCAATTATTATAAAGGTCTAATAATTTAATGCATGAAGACTATGCAGCACAGTTCTGGGCACAAAATATGCATTCAGCACTTGGCACCTGCTGCATAAAAAATGTAATTAAATTAATCTTTACAGTTCTCCAAAGGATCTGTCCCTCCACTTTCAGCACGGGGCCTTGAACCCAAGGCCTTCACACTCAGGTACATCCCAGCCCTTTTACATTTTGAAACAGGATCTCACTAAGTTGCACAGCCTGGGCTTGAATGTGGGGTCTTCCTGCCTCAGCCTCCCAGAGTGGTGAGCTAGGCTCCATTTTTAAGGCTGTGTAAACTAAGACAGAGTTAAACCAAGTAATTTTTCAATCTTGTTTTATTTTTTGTGGTACTTGAAATTGAACCTAAGTGTACTCTACCACTAAGCTACATCCCCAGTCCTTTTGTTCATTTTATGTGGAAACAAAGTCTCACTAACCTGCCTGGACTGGCCTCAAACTTGCAATTCTCCTGTCTCAGCCTCTAGGGTAGCTGTGATTACAGGTATGTGCCAATGTGCCCAATTTCAAATAACTTTTTTTTTTTTTTGGTACCAGGGATCAAATTCGGGTCTTTGCACTTGCACAGCAGGCGGCAAAACCACTGAGCTAAATCCCTGGCCCTCAAATAACTTTTAATAGTGGCTAACATGTACTGGGCCCATACAGATGCCTAAGCACTGTGCTACACGTTACCTCAGTTAACCCTACCAACAACCACAGGAGGTTAGAAACCCTCTCTTTTTCCCCTTCTACAGATGAGAAAACAGAGGCACAAGGAAGTTGCAAAAAGTGCCTGGGTGCTGAGAGGAAGATGCAGGCTTTGCCCTCGGGTGAGTTACTCCAGAATCCACCTGCTTAGCCAGCAACTGGAAGGGTGGCAAGGCTTCGGTTACACGGGGGTGACACTGGCTGGGGACCCGGTAGGGAGCTCCCAGGCACGCATCTGCCAGCGCAGTGTGTGTTCTTCCCTCCAGGATTTTGCAGCCAACAACACATCTGAGCTTCCAGGGTTGCTCCGGACCACGTGCTTGTGAGCAGGACTTGCCCAAGCCCAGCTGCTTTGGCGAGGAAGTCAGCAGAGGGGATGTCCCCTTGCTCCTGCAAGAACGTGCTCCTTACCTCCTGTGGGCTGCAGGAACAGGGATCCAACCAGATTAGCCGTTTCAAAATGAAAACCCAAAAGCAAGGCTCATGCCCCCTTCTCTTCAAAAACAAAAAGAAAAAAAGAAAGAAACAAACATCAAGCCAAAAAGGAGCAATAGCAAAGCCCTTGAATCCATCTGTGACAGAGGCTATTTTGTGCCTGGTTTCCTTGGGTGGCCTTGTCTTAATGGCCTCTAATTCATAGAGACAAAACACATAAAACAATTTAGGGCATTGGCACACTCACCCAGGAGCACGGCCGACTCCTGGGGGAGCGTTTTGGCAGGCCTTTGGAGGCCTGCCCTGCCGCCGGGGCTGGGAGGCTCCCGGGAACCTAGCAAAGAGCAAAGGAACGGCTAGTTTTCCTTTTGCTTCTGCCATTCCCTGCTTGCTGGGCCTGAGAGGTATCTGAGGGCCGTGGGCTGGGCGGATAATTATCTGTCTTGTAATTATAGCCAGTTGTGGGGGCCTCGCGCCTGTCCCCCACGTCGCCAGGCGGCTGGGAAGAGCGCTCCGGAGTGAAGGATTTACGGCCGGCCGTGCGGCTGGGATGTGTGTTTTGGCTTGTGTGCTCAAAGAGCACAGCCTCACCCTCTTTTCATTCTTTTGCTTTTCCCCCTCTCTCTTTAATCTCGACTTCACAAGGGAGCGAGTTGGTTGTTAATTCGCTTGGATTTTGAATCTGGGCCTTTTCATGTGTGAGAGGCTGGAAGGTGCCTTGAGGGTCCTGGTTGCCATTCAGTCTTTGGTGTCAAGGAAACTGTTCTCCACAGGGAATGAATTCAGTGCGTTCACAAAGGCGCATTAGCAAAACATCGGCCCCTATTTACAGAACACTTGTGCTAGTGTCCAGGTGTGAGCAGGACATCCCAGCATTACCCCCCGTTTTACAGATGAGGAGACTGAGCCACAGCGAGGGGAGTCACTTACCCAGTGCCACAAGGCCAGAAAATCAGCCATTGGGCAGCCAACCATGAGACGAGATTATGGATGGATGGGGAAGGCTGGATATTAGGATGACAGATGTGTGACTTGTGGAGAAACTTAACCCAATAACATGTAGTTTTAGCGGATAAAGAAGTACCTGCAAAATCCCAGGGTTATGCACTGAATTTGTGGCAGATCCAGGTTTTCTGATATTCTGCCCAGAACTCCTGACCCCTGGTCTCTGTTGCTTCATCTTCTCCCTGCTGGAGAGTTTCTGAGCCCTACAAAGGCTGCACATGCACACTCTTAAACTCTCCCTCATTGGGCCTAGGTGCTTTCAGGGAACTAGAGCTACCGCATAGCCTTCATTTGTGACCCCAAGGAGGGCAACCAGCCAGCCAGGCTAGCCTAGGAGCAGGGGGATGAGAAATATTCAGGACTGAAAGTAGTACATCTCAGCCACTCTATTTTGACCTGGTAAATGGATGAAACATGTGCAAAGCAAGCATTTTAGGACCATTGTCCAGCATGGGGCTGGGCTTGGGGCTGAGACCCAGCTGGCATGGGATCTCATTTGTACCATTCCCTCATCAGTGGGTGACCTTGGTCAAGGAAGGCACTGATCTCCCTGAACCCCAGTTTCTTCATCTGTAAAACAGAGGTGGCGCTTAAATCTGTCTCAGGGTGGTCAAGAGGTTGAAGTGCAATGATGCAAGCCAGATGCCTAATGCGGGGTGTCTCCCAGGGAACGTGCCATCAAGCCCCCATCAGGGGCCTTCATCCTGCAAGTATAGTTCAGGGCCAATGGCAGGCTCTAAAGTCGCTGTGCCCTGCTGGTTGCTGGCTCATCCTAGTGGGCACGGCTGCCTCTCTGGGTTATATTTTCTGGAGTTGTGAAACCAAATACATACAAGGTCCAGAAGAGAATTGGAATTATGTGTCCCCGCAGCTTCGTGAGGGAGCCATGGCTCTTGTGCCCATTTTCTGGAGATCCAGGAAGGTAAAGAGAGTTGCCTCAGGTCACTCGTGTCATAAGTGCTTGAGGAGAGACAGGGCACAGCCCATCTCCAGAGCTCTTGGTAACAAAACGGCTTCCCTTTTTATGACAGCATCGAATTGCTTTTGTGTGGGTTTAACATACATCATGCAGCTCGTTTCTTTTTATTTTGCATTTGGTTTGAGTTTTAAAATTTTATTTTACTTCTCTGGAAACAATACTGGGGTGAACACCCCAGTATTTTCTACACCAGGCTCTCCCAACCATGGGACTCTTGACATTTGGGGACACACAGCTGTCTGTGGCAGGGCTGTCCTGGGCATCGCAAGATGCTCAGCAGCACCCCTGGCTCTGATCGCCAGATGCCAGTAGCACTCCATTCTATGTCTGCAGACCTTGCCAGGTGCCCTTGCAGGGGACAAAATCAAATCACTTCCTGTTGAGAACCACTGTTCTACATTTTATATTCTGATGTGATGGTTTCCCGGATCCAATTGTTTGTGCAATGTTTTTAAGGATCCCTGATGCCTGGGGCCCAGCTGTCTCCCTCGGAGTGGCACAGCGCCTCACCTGCACACTCTGCTCCTCACCTGCCCGCCAGCGGCCAATTTGACTTGGGCAATCCTAGGATTCCAGGAGGCACAGCACACTTCTAGAAGTATAGGACAGACAGGCCCAAATGAGGAAACCGAGCTTGGAAGGGGCAGGGATCTGCCCTAGGCCACACATGGCACAGTTGGGTCTTTGAACATTGATCCACAGTGACTTTAACTGTCGTCAGACAGCCCCACTAGGCAGCTCAATCATGCCAAGTTAAAGTGATTCATTGAGGCCAATGTGACTTCCAGGTCTCTTCTACCAGATGGTATGGGATTTCATAATTTTTACAATTTTTATTGCGCTGGCTGTGGATGAAGGCAGTGCTTTGGAGGCAGGGCGGGGAGGGACGTGTAGGGCGGTGGAAGGACTGGTCAAAGTTTATGGGATTGCAGCCTGCCATGGACTAAGTTTATTGTCCTTTGTAAATTCTCTGTCCTTTTCCTCTTTGAAGTCGGGAGCGATGGAATCAGTGGCCTAATTGATACAGGATGGGGAGAGGCTGACGATACTCAAAGAGTAGGGGCTGATGTGCTGCGGCAACCCCAGGAGTTTCTTTCTGGAGATCTATGGGGGAAATGATCTATTGACCCAGTGTGATGCAGAATGAGCTTAAACTTCCCCGGGGCTTCCTGCTCTGCCCTGTGTCTGTCTTGTTGACTTCATCTTCCTTCTCCTGGCCTTGGGCTCACTCTGCTGCAGCCACAATTGCCTTATTTTCCTTTTTAAAAAAGCTATGTCTGTTCCTACCTTCGGGCCTTTGCACTTGCTCTTCCTGTTGCCTGGACCTCCCTCTTGGGAGTTATTTTGGTGGCTGATCCCTTTGATTGCTTCAGATCCCCGCTAACCTGCCTCTGCATGAGAGAGGCCTCCCAGACCACCCTGTTTCAGGAAACTCCCCCCTCACCCCGTTTTTCTCTATCACATCCCCCTAATCCATACCCTTTGGGGGAGATGAGGTTTCAATCACTCACTGTATGAAATTTCCATTTTTGTTCACTATTTTAGGACACGGTGTCCTTATGGAGGACAGGGACCTCGCCTATCTTGTCATAGGCTTCTCTGGAGCGGCTTGGGTGGTGGTTAGTCGAGTGGAGTAATTGAGGATCTATCTACTCTTTGCAAGATCTGGAGAGAGGTCGAAGCAGGACAAGGAAATGTGGACACATACGAAGTGTAGGTGGCTTTGCACGCTAGGGTGCAGTTAGCAGATGGAGGCGCCATGACAACTGCGGGGGGGGGTGGGTTCTCCAAGAGGGGCTCCTGCAGATGCCCCCAAGTGGACTTTCAGGCATGTAAAGGGTTAGATTGGCTGGCAAGGAGCAGGCCAGGCGCCTTACGCCGGGAGCAGATGGAGGCTGGGTGGAAGGCTGAAGCTTGCGGAGACCGAGACCAGCGTTCAGGAAAGCTGGACCGAGCAGACCGAGTCGCTGGAGCAGCTGGGGTTGCATGGCATTGTGGGTATGTGTTGGGCACAGCCTTGGGACCCCAAGAGGGTTTGCAGGATACACAAGGAAGAGCAAGAGAGGGGAGTTGGGTGGCGCATGGGGTTGGGGTTTCCGTCTGCCATGGAGCAGCTGTGTGGCTGGATCAGCACTAGCTGTGTGGCCTTGGTGGGTGACCTCTCTGAGCCTCAGTTTTCCCTTCTACAAAGTGAGGTTAGGAATAGTGATGGCTCCATGGGGTTGCTCTGGGCTAAGACGTGGTAATCCATATAGACAAAGCCTTGAACTGAGCCTGGAGCTCAGTAAAGCGACCACATCTCTGATGTCATTGCATTCTCTGCCACACTACATGGAGGACGTGATCCCCGTGTTGTGGACGAGAAAACAGTATCCTTGCAAATTCCAGAAACGCAGGGAGCTCTAGGGACACAAAAACAGAATTGAGCTATTTGTGGTCAGATTGGGATGAAAGCTACCCATGGAGAAGCCACATGGAAGGGAGGCTGCTGCTGGGAGCTGTGGGGCTCGGGCTACACCCGCAGGAAACCACATGAACTCAGAAGAGGACCTGAGAGTGCAGAGCGGACCACTGCCCAGTCGGCAAGCTCAGCTCGCCCCGGTGAGACCCTGACCCGGGAAGGCAGCTGAGCCACGCCGGCGCTCCTGGCCCACAGAGACTGTACGCTAATAACTATGGGTTGCTCGAAGCTGCCCAATTTGT